TATTTGTACCCATTTAAGAATGGGGAGACGGCACTGCACATCCTAATAGATTTAGCAAGGGTGGTGTGGGGAGGCCGAGGGATGGGCAAGTGGAACCAAGTGAAGCCAAGGTTGGTAAAGAGAAAATGATGGTGCCAGGGAGTCATGGATGGATCCCTTCCAAACTGGGGTTTTCCCTACAGAAGTATCGTGTCAGAAATGTAAAGATCCCAGTGACAACCAGAACAATAACACTTAGCCCTGTTTACAGAGTGCAGGTTCTAAGCCCTTCACACTCATAAACTCATTTAATCCCCACAGTAACCCAATGAGGAAATTGAGGCACAGAGAGGGTAAGTGACTTGCTCAAGGTCACACAGCAGGCGAGTGGTGCAGCCAGGCACTCTATTAAGCTCTGCAGCATGAAAAGGCAGGCAGACCTGATGAACAGGCTGGTGTGGCTAGATTCACCCAACATCTGAGCCTGCCATCCAGGAGGTGATGAGGCCTTTGTCATTCATAGAGTCAGGTCTGGGATCTGTGACGCTGGGTCAGCTGAGCACCTGGCTAGCCCATCCTAGTCTCAGTCACCTGCCGTTTGGGATCTGGGTCATGGAGAGGCTCTCATCTGGTGACATCACAGATGACAAATCATGATGACTTTGCAAAGGAAGTGACAAGGTCTCAATTGCCAAGAAGAGGCAGAGCTGTGAGGCAGCCGCAGAAAGACAAACCTTTCAGAGGCACGGGGTGGCTGCAGCCCCAACAGCCCAGAGAAATCTCAGAAGGAGAGGGACAGAGGGGCCCTACATGACCAAATTGGAAGCTGCAGGCCAGGGGCTGGGCGTCTGCCTGTGCCTTCCATGTTATGGTTCAGAAAGCAAACGTCCAGAGCAGTGTAACAGATACATCCTGTCATACATGCCTGTTTTTGCAATTTTTTTCTATCCTATATCTCACCATCTGAAATTATATCATTCACTTGTTAATTATTGACTCCGCTCTTAGTATGTTATCTCTGTGATGTTAAATTCTGTACTTGGTCTTCATCCTGCTGCCTGACCCCATAGTAGGTGCTAATAATATTGGTTTAATTTAAATCCCACTTCAGCTCAAACTTCTAAATGTGTAGGGGTCACTTAGGGTTACCCACTCATGGAGAATGAGCACCTTAGCTTGGTGAACAGAGGGGACAGCAGCCAGAACCCAAGCAGGGTGAGACGACCCCGCTTTCTCAGCCTCTCTCCCAGGAACACAAGGACAGCCAGCAGCATCTCTGGGTCCCCAGGGGAGATGGGGAGGAGCTGAAGCATTTCTCCTGGTGCCTGGTGGCATAGTGGGCCACCTTCAATGGGCTGCTGACTCGGCAATTATGTTTGTTTCTGAAAACAGCTATACTACAGCTAGAAATCAAAAGATGTCCACATAAGCAAACAAACCTTTTAGCTATTGCTATGGGCTGTGGGTTGAATTCTGTCCTCCCAATTCACATGCTGGAGTCCTAACCCCCTGTAACTCAGAATGGGACTTTATTTGGAAGTAGGATCCTTGCAGACGTAATTAGGATGAGTTCATACTGGAGTAGGATAGAGTTTCTTATAACAAGGGAAATGTGGACACGGACATGCGCACGGGGACATGCGCACATCTACAAGGCAAGGAACGTCAAAGATGGCCAGCAAACCACCCTGGCGAGGGCCAAGGCCTGGAGCCCATTGTCCCTCACAGCCCTCAAGGGAACCATCCCTGGAGACACCTTGATCTCGGATTTCCAGGCTCCAGAACTGGGAGACAATACATTTCTTTTGTTCAAACCACCTCGGCAGTGGTGCTTTGTTACAGAGGTCCTGGCAAACGACACAGCTCTTTCCCACCGTGGATCCAGCCTCAGCAAGTGAGCGAGTTGCAGAGGATCCACGTGGGAAGAAGAGGGTGGCGGTGTCCCTCTTGCTAACGGGGGTGCAGTAAGGGGCTCTCTGATGACCTGCCCCTCATCCCCGCCTGCCTCCGCCCAGCCAGGTTCTGGTTCCCACACTTGGAACCACCGTCCCTACTCCCTTTCATCTCCCTTCTTTTCTTTTTAGCCTGCCCACCTCCAGGGCCAGACTCACCTGGCTTTGCATCAGACATCCCAGTTGGTCTCTCCCAGCTGTGCAAATACCAAGGCTGCCTCAACACACAGGAGCGTTAACTCTGGGAAACAAGAGTAAGAAAGACACACGGGGGCAGAGGTGGAGGGGCACCTCACAGCCTGGCCAGTCACCTGGAGGGTGCCATGCTTAGCAATTTGCCAGATTGGCCAGGTATCATGAGAGGGAATGCAGACTGCAGAACTGAGAGTACAATGCAGCCCATTTATGTAAGGAAGAAAGGATGTGTTTATGGTTCTGCCAGATGTGTCCCAAGGAGTTCGTGCTAATTAGCTCTGGATGATGAAGTAGCAAGTGGTTTCAATTTTATTCCTCGTGCTCGTAAATATGGCATAGTATGTTGGCAGGAAACATGTAGGCAAGCGTGTCTGTGCATGTAAAAACAGTAATACAGTCAGCCCTCTGTATCTGGGGGTTCCATGACTGCAAATTCAACCAATCATGAACCTAAAATATTCAGAAAAACTACAAATATAAATAATAATACAACAATAAAACGTGAATAAAAATACAGTATAACAACTATTTACATAGCATTTACATTGTATTAGGTATGATAAGTCATCTAGAGATAATTTAAAGCATATGGAGGGTGCGTGTAGGGTTTTTTTTGTTTGCGTGTTTTTGGGTTTTTTTTTTTTTTTTTTTTTTTTTTTTTTTGAGACAGGATCTCACTCACTCTGTCTCCCGTGCTGAAGTGCAGTGGCATAATCACAGCTCATTGCTGCAGCCTTGACCTCATGGGCACAAGCAATCCTCTTGCCTCAGCCTCCTGAGTAGCTAGGACTGCAGGCATGCACCACCACACCTGTCCAATTTTTGCGTTTTTTGTGGAGACGGGATATCCCTATCTTGCCCAGGCTGGTCTCAAACCCCTGAGCTCAAGCAATCCACCTGCCTTGGCCTCTCAAAGCTCTGGGATTATAGGCTTGTGTCACTGCACACAGCTGCGCATAAATTCTGTGTAAGGAACTTGAGCATCCGTGGATTCTGGTATCTACGGGGTCCTGGAGTCAATACCCCACAGGTACAGAGAGACAACTGTACTGAAAATCTTGAGTAGATCGGAACCTAAGGAATCAGACATTTCAATGTCTGCATCGAGTGAGGCTGACCTGAAGTGGGGTAGACGGGGAAGCTTTCTTTGTTATCCGCTTCCCTTTGACCCAGCACGTTAGGTGAGACTACATTGACCAACCATCCCAGTTGATGCAGAACCAAGGGATTTTCCAGCATGCAGAAATCTTAGCGCTAAATTGTTGGCCACGGTGGACTAGAGCCACACACACAGGACTCTGAAAAGGTACCTGGGAAGCTGTATATGGCTAGACCAGGACTCATCAGCCCGGCCCTCCATAGACACAGGACACACTCATCCTGGCCCTGGGGAGAGGCCATTGCTGTCCATCAACAGTTTTTCCCAAGAGACTTTCTCCTACTCAACACTGAGAACAATACATTGAAAGAGTCATGGCTTCCCCAGCAATGGGAGGTGTTCCTGTAGGTACCTGGCCTCTTCCAAGAACCTAGTGGGACAGGAGGCAAGTACTGGGAGGGAGATTGGCCTCAGCGCTTCTCACTTTGAGATGCTCCAGAGTGTTTACCTGCTTTGGCTCAAGTCTCGTGGAGTTTCAGATCCTAAGAGCTATGGTTTGGGTCATCCCCTGCCACCTTCCCCAAAAGATTTCCTCAAAGTTTCTCTCTCACTCTGGCTTATTTTACACATAGAAAATGAAAGCCAGCCATGGTGGCTCATCCCAGTAATTCCAGCACTATGGGAGGCCGAGGCGGGAGGATCACCTGAGGTCAGGAGTTCGAGACCAGCCTGGCCAAGTAGAGTTCGAAACGCCATCTCTACTATAAATAAAAAAAATTAGTCAGGTGTGGTGGCACATACCTGTAATTCCAGCTACTCGGGAGTCTGAGGCAGGAGATCGCTTGAACTTGGGAGGCAAGAGGCTGCAGTGAGCCGAGATCGCGCCATTACAACTCCAGCCTGGGCGACAAGAGTGAAATTCTGTCTTAAAAAAGAAAAAAAGAAAAGAAAAAAGAAATTGGATCTACCTACTTATTTCACCCTCTGGGGAAAGCAAAAGTGAGAGTGAAAATTATTTTCCTCATTTATCCACGGAAACTGAGGCCCAGAGAGGTTTGGTGCCTTGTTCGAGGCCCCCTGTGAATCAGGGACAGAGGGGTGGCTGTCTATAGCCCAGCCAAGAGCTGCCACTGCATTTTCCTCATTTAATGTTTGCCCCCACACTCCCTCTGAGCAGCCACGAGGATAAGATGCTCTGTTGCATGCAGAAGGGATGCAGGCAGTGTCTGGAAGGGCTTACAGGTGCCATCTATTAGGAGAAAGAAAACTTACATAAAGTGAGTCCATGTAGAAAACACAGAGGCAACAGTTCTGGGAAACATCCCTTGACTTTTGCCTGGGTGTTGCCTTTTGAGCCACACAGAATCCACTGCAGGAAGAGGCCAGAAGTTCCTTCTCATCCTGTTGTCCTCTCTCTATCCCCTCTGTCCACTCTGCCTTTTCCATCTCTGCCCCTTTCTGGCCCTTATCCTTCCTGTCCATTATCCTAGGAACCTCAGATCCTTCTGTCTGCATGGTGAGAACTCTACAAAAAGGTGAACCTTCTCTTGCTAACATGGACCCATTCTTAACAGCAACACTTCAAAATCGATTGATGTTACAAACTCTTGTCTATGTCCTTTCCATAAAAGCGTTCCCAGCAAGGAAGAGAGTAGGGCAGAGAGATGGAGAGAAATGGAGACCTCGCCACCCCACCCCACCTTACTAGATGAAGGAGCCGTGTCTCAGAAACAGGGCACTCAGGCTCTTGACTCCCAGGTTAGAGAACAAGGCACAGAACAGCCCCTCCTCCGGAATCACAGGACCCCTGACTTGGCAAATTTATCCAAGGGCACCCTGACTCCTCTGCCACGTGGATTGTTGGTTCCAGCGATGAGCAGCCCAATGAACAGTGATGTCAGACTGTTTGGGTCCAGATCATTCCTGAGCCATGAAACAGTTAAGAAATATCCTGCCCCACTGGCTGCCGTGCTCATAAAGGCAAACCAACGTGTACTTCCTTGTGGCTCCAAGACGCGCTGGCTCACTTATTTGCTCACACCCAGCACATCCAGCAGGCAGAGAAGGCAGCAGCAGGCAGGACCGCCACCCTCCCATGCAAATCACCCCCAGGAGTGCAGCTGGGCTCCTCCCGCTCCTCCTGGGCAATGCTCCTGGGGCGTCTGTGGGGAAGATGCCATCCCGGGCGCTGTGCACTCTTCCTCATCCTTGCCATCCTGCTCGACACAGTCGGCCTGGTCCTTTTGCTTCTGGGGATCTTGGCCTCCCTGAGTTACTGGGACTTCCTTGTCTACACAGGCGCCCTGATCCTGGCTTTCAGCCTTCTGCTCTGGATCATCTGGTATTCCTGCAACATTGAGGTGTGCCCGGAGAAACTGGACCTGTAGTTTGGCCATGGGAAGAGGAAGAGAGATGCAGGTGCTGTATGCAGACATGTCTGTGAACCTCGGGCTCCTGGGCACCAGCACATTGCAGCTTCTACCTAGCAAGCCCCGCCAGGACCAGGTGAGTGCACACAAGACCTACCTGGCAGGGTGGCCAGAGGGGCTTGGACAAGCAGGGGCACAATCAGGCTTCCTGAGGCTGCATGAGCAAGGAGCCGGACACTGCACCCCCAGCCAGGGATCCCGGGACCCTGGCCTCCCATCCTGCTGGGGTGGACCAGCCAAGAGGATGTGCGGTAGGGGTTTTCTCCTCTGGGTCCTTTTCCTCACCTAGTCTGGAAAGGAAGTCTCCACAGCCCCTTCCACCTCTGATATGCCACGAATAATCCTGCCTGCCAGGCAGAACGGGAAGTTATCCCTTTAGCTTGAAACTTGGGGAAAAAAAGACCCCATCTGGGTTCTCTGTTGGGGAGAATCCCTGCTGGGGAGAAAAGTCTTTAGCACAGGAGAGGATGGAAAGTTCCCCAATGGCTCTTGTGCCCTCGCATGCATGAAGGGGCGTGAACTGAGCTGCGGTGAAAGCAAACAGAGCAGAACCACGCAGAACGGTCCCTTTCACTCACTTCCTTCTGCACCTGCCCAGGTGGGATATGTGAAGGCGGGTAGGGACTATTTCCCTCCATGCCTGCTCGGTGCACACACCTCCTCTCACTGCAGTGCTCCCACCCTACCCTCACTCACTTTCACGCACAGACAACACATGTGCCCAGGCAGCCTCCAAGACCCAGAAGTCAGGAGCCTTGGGCTTCATGGATTTTGTCAGCTGAGTTGCACGTCACAGCTCAGTCTATTGCATGCAGCCAAAGAGGCAGATAGCTGTAAGATTTTTCACATCAAGACAGAGTCCCAAAGATAGAGTGGTCTGGTCCTTACCACCCTGAATTAGAGATGGACAGCTCTCCCCAGGGGACTGAAGTCAGGGCCCTGGTTCATTGGGCAGCCATACCCTCCTCCCCAGGTGGGCCCAACCTGCACAAATGTTCTTACTCCCTTAGCAAATTTAAGAGCAAAGGTCGTTGCTGCGTTGGAAGAAGGAAATAATAATTGTTTTTTCTGGGAGATTACATCTGACTCTCAGAACTTGGAGAAAAGAGCAGTAAACTGAAGAGGTCTCGGTAGAGTAAGGTAAGCCCATATCTAGTAAATGATGTAGAAAGAGACGACAAGTCAGTCCCACTCTAATCCTCGACACTTGCTAGCTGGGTGGTGATGGCCAGACTGCACACTCTGAGCCTGGGATTCTCATCTGTAAGATGAAGAGAATATCCCTGGACCTTATTGCTGTAAGGTTCAAATAGAGATGAGGCAGGGAAAGGCTCCACCCTTGATATGGTTCTTACAGACGTTAAGCATACAAAACACATAATCTGGGATGAGTTAACTGATCCATAGTCCAAATGTGAAGTACCTTAGTGTCCCTCAGATTGGCAGTGGTGTGGGTCAACTCACACTTTGCATCAAGAACCTTCAAAGCAAAAAGGGACTCACGATTTGAATGCTGGTATGTTGGAATGCGTAAGGCACTGTGCAAGACACTGGGGATACGACATGAGACGCAAGGGCCGGGCAGGGCGGCTCACGCCTGCAATCCCAGCCCTTTGGGAAGCCGAGACAGGCAGATCACTTGAGGTCAAAAGTTCAAGACCAGCCAGGGTAACATGGTGAAACCCCATCTCTACCAAAAATACGAAAAGTTACCCACACATGGTGACGCGCACTGGTAATTCCAGCTATTCAGGAGGCTGAGGCAGGAGGATTGCTGGAGCCCAGGGGGCGGAGGTTGCAGTGAGCCGAGATTACATCACTGCACTCCAGCCTGGGCAGCACACTGAGACCTGTCTCAATTTAAAAAAAAAAAAACACACATGACACGGGGGTTCTACTTTTAGGGAGTTTACCACTGGGTGAGAAAGACAGATATTCACTAAAGAGTCACACTTTTTTATTTTATGTCTCTGTTATTGAACACAATTACAGGCATATCCATTTTTAGACTGCATTCTAGCCCGGGCATAAAGCAGCACCCCTGTTCTCTCTCCCTCTTCCTCTTCCTCTTCCTTCCTCTCCTTCATTCTTTTTTTTTCTTAAAAAAAAAAAAAAGAAGACATCACAGCTTCGTAATATAGTAGACTTCACCCTTGTTTCTTTTACCTCTTTCCACCAGTGTCGTCTAACATTTGGAATAACACTTAGACATTGTTGGTACAAAGCCCCCCAAACTAACATAGTTTCATTTGGTCTGTTCTCTAACAAAGGGCTGCTTCAAATAGGACAGTGTCATGTCACCATCTCTGGGTCCAGATTTGTATTAAAAAAAAAAAAAAAAAGAGTCACACTGACAGAAGTAAAATAACAAAGTCAGCTCTGTGCTAGGAAGACGAGGAGCATCCTCCCACGAGAATACTCAGCAGAGAAACTGACCCAAAAGGTGAAGTCAGGGAAGGCTTCCTGGAGGAGGTGATGTTAGGCTGAACACCAAAGGAAGCATGAGAGGTAAGTGGAAAGTCTTTCAGGGAGAGACAAAGTCTCGGGCAAAGGTCCCGGAATAACAGGAAATAAAAGATGATGGGGAGATTGAAGGGCAGAGAGCAAATGTCAGAGAGGGTTAGGGCCCTGTGGTCAGCAGAGGCCAGATATGACACAGTCTTGAGGGCCCTCTGAAGGATTTTGGTCATTACTTTAAGAACAATAAGAATCCATTGAAGAAGTATAAGCAGAGGTAGGGGCTTAACATAATAGGACCTATGTTTCCAAAAGACCACCCTGACCACAGTATAGGATAGGTTATTATGGTTATGATTATTACCAGTTGAAACCCATTTTGGGAGCCAAGACAAGTGGCCAAACAACACAGAGTCCCCAGTGTATGGCTCCGTGCCCTGCGCACCCTTTCCTCATTGAACAGAAGTTCAACAGCCCAACGTTGAAGAGCATGGGCCATACCCAGACTGCCTGGCTGGAATCCAGTTTTATTCCTTTCTAGCAACGTGACTTGGGGCAAGTTCCTTCACCTCTCCATGCCCCATTGCTCCAAATATGTAAAATGGAGATGTGCAAATAATAGTTCCTACGTCATAAGCAGGTTGCACAGATTAGGTGGATTCATATTTGTTCAGCACAATGCAAGTGATGACTAAATCAAGTGCCAGTCACGATGCAGGTAGCCAGCACATTACAGAGGGTGTGGTCTCCCTCCAAGGCAGACACCCCTTGAAGCGTTAGGATCAATCCTAATGGCAGTGTACAGCATTAGGATTTTTCAATAGGTATGAGACTAGATGCTGCTCCAGAGTGCCCGGGTTTTGTCCTGGTTCAAAGGGCCTTCAGAAGGTGCAAGAGGTTCTTTATTGGGGCCGGGCGTAGTGGCTCATGTCTGTAATCCCAGCACTTTGGGAGGCCGAGCTGGGCAGATCACAAGGTCAAGAGATTGAGACCATCCTGGCCGACGTGGTGAAACCCCGTCTCTACTAAAAATATAAAAATCGGCCTGGTGGTGCACACCTGTAGTCCCAGGGCATGGTGGCGCGTGCCTGTAGTCCCAGCTACTTGGGAGACCGAGGCAGGAGAATCGCTTGAACCCGGGAGGTGGAGGTTGCAGTGAGCTGAGATTGCGCCACTGCACTCCAGCTTGTGACAGAGTGAGACTTCGTCTCAAAAAAAAAAAAGAAAAAGAAGTTCTTTGTTGTATTCTTTATTGAACCACCATCCCCTGCCACATTTCAGGGATGGCCCAGAGTGACAGATTCGTGTGTACTGAGACCTGATGTTTGGAAGGCTGCTCACTTATGAAGCTGCCCAACCCTCCCCCCCGCGTGGCCTTGGGGGAGTCATTTTACTTCCCTGTAGAATGAGAGATGTGGTTTCCAAGGGAGGTTTCGAACTGCGCTTTGCTGATGTCCCTGGGAGGGGGTTGGGGCTGTGGTGAGGGGCAGAGGGAGGAGACAGGAGTCCTGCAGCCCTACCCACCCTACAGCACACATTTCACCCACAACAGCAGTGTTCTCAGCAGATTTGCACATTAAACTGGCACGTAAGGCTTGATGTGAATGCAAGCTTCTGATGCCAAAAAATTTTCGAAAAACAACTCATCTCAGTTCCCCTACAGTCTATGACCTTTGGCCTGCATGTCAACATCAGACATATTCACGATTTACGGGTAGATTGTAACTGGCTTCGCCAGCTCTCTCATTCTCAGAGCAGGGTAAAAGGAAAGAATGTCGGCTCCTTGGATTCAGGGCTGACGCCAATATTCCTAGCTCAGCCTTCAGAGGCTCTCTAAGATGAAGTTGAGGCTGGGTGTGGTGACTCACACCTGTAATCCCAGCACTTTTGGAGGCCAAGGCCAGAGGATCACCTGAGGCCAGGAGCTTGAGACCAGCCTGGCCAACATACTGAAATCCCGTCTCTACTAAAAAAAATACAAAAAATAGCTGGGCATTGTGGTGTGCACCTATAATCCCAGCTACTTGGGAGGCTGAGGCAGGAGAATTGCTTCAACCAGGAAGGCAGAGATTGCAGTGAGCCAAGATTGTGCCACTGTACTCCAGCCTGAAGAGCAGAGCGAGACTCTATCTAAAAAAAAAAAAAAAAAAAAAAAAAAAATGAGGTTGCTAGAACCTGCTCCCACCCTGCCCCAGAGATGAGGAGGTCCCATGCCTGGTCAGGACAAGCTCTCTGCCCACAGCCTGCATGGTTCCCCAGAGACAGAGGGCAGGGTGGCTGGCGGCTAAGCCTCAAAGGCCCCCCCAAGAAGTTTCAGGGTGAGCGGCTTATTTTTATGGCCTAGCTGTGCTCAAAGAGAGACAGACTGCCATTTGATTTTATCACCTGGTCACTGTATTTTCAGATTTTTTTTTTTTTTTTTTTGCTCCATTTTCTACTTCTTGGTCATTTCCTGCAGTTAAGATAAGTCGCCAGGCAAAGTCAGATAAAAACTCTTGTCCTTTTATAATATAGGGTCGAAGACTACATGCCCAAAGAATACACACACACTAACACCCCAAACATACACACACATCCCTCCTCTACTGCACATGTGTTCATGCACACAAAAACACACCCCCACATGCTCACACCTACCACACACACACCCGGAAACACGCACTCACAGAAACAAACACACCCACTCCCACACCAACCGAAGCCAAAAGGCATGGAAGGCTTACAGCCTTGAGCCTTGGAAAATGAAACTTGTTCCTCCACTTCGACTTTTTCCAACAGGCAGCCTCTCCCCACTGCCCACGGAGGAGGCCAGTGGAGCTGCCAAGTCAGCTCAAAGGTGAGCCAGGCAAAAAGCCTTCCTCGCCCCCTCACCTCCTGGCCCCTTGCAGACGCAGTGCCAGGGCTGCGCAGAGGAGCAAACATTTCTCTAATCTCTCCAGGGATTTTTAATCTAAAGGGAGAGATAAAGCATGTGCATGATACTTTACAAAGTCTACACGGGAAAAGGCATTGCGGAAGATAAACATAGTCTTCCTGTAATCCCAGCACTTTGGGAGGCCGAGGAGGGCGGATCACAAGGTCAAGAGATCGAGACCATCCTGGTCGACATGGTGAAACCTCGTCCCTACTAAAAATACAAAAATTAGCCGGGCGTGGTGGTGCGCGCCTGTAGTCCCAGCTACTCAGGAGGCTGAGGCAGGAGAATTGCTTGAACCCGGGAGGCGGAGGTTGCAGTGAGCCAAGATCGCACCACTGCACTCCAGCCTGGCGCCTGGCAACAGAGCGAGACTCTGTCTCAGGAAAAAAAAAAAAAAAAAAAAAAAAGCATAGTCTTGCCAGGGCTCTGAAAGCGGAAGGGAGGCACAGAGCCTCCTGGCTGGGGGGAATCGTGCAGTGTGCGGTTCTGGCCGGGCTCCTGAGGAACAGGTAAGAATGTGACAAGAGAGATGGCACAGGGACAGCGGCGGTGGGCAGTGGGTAGGGAGGCAGTCCAGGCAAAAGGAAGGACTGCAGAAATGGAAGAATTAGGGTGTTCAGGAAAAGCTGAGCGGGCACATTTCCCTTTGGGCTGGGGTCTTCAGTGCTGACTGTGCAGGACCTTGAACACGAGGCAAGGTTGCTGACACTGGGTGAGGAGGGAGGAGCCTTCGATGGCTTTACATACCAGAGAGAGGCATGATCAAGCTTCGCCTGCGGAGGCATAACTCAGCATCGTGTGCAGAATGGATGAGAGCAAAGCAGCAGTGAGACAGAGAGGCCATTCAGTAAGCTCAGGTGGCAGGTAATAAAAGGGCTCGAGCTGAAATGATGCCCACAGAGGGGAGAGGAGAAGAGCAGAGACTTCGTGAGTGGAGGACGGCCTGTTCTGTTCTACAGCAGGTCAGGGGTGGCATTGCAGAAGGCACCCCCGGGGCATGGAGTGAGGGAGGTCAGGAGAAGGCAAGAGTTTGTTTAAAATAATGCATTTTGCCCATCCATGATAGACTGGATAAAGACAATGTGGCACATGTACACCATGGAATACTATGCAGCCACAAAAAAGGATGAGTTCCTGTCCTTTGCAGGGACATGGATGAAGCTGGAAACCATCATTCTCAGCAAACTTACACAAGAACAGAAAACCAAACACCACATGTTCTCACTCATAGGCGGGTGTTGAACAATGAGAACACGTGGACACAGGGAGGGAACATCATACACTGGGGCTTGTCAGGGGGTGGGGGGCCTAAGAGAGGGATAGCGGGGGTGGGGGAATTGGGGAGGACTAACATTAGGAGAAATACCTAACGTAGATGATGGGGGATGGAGGCAGCAAACCACCATGGCATGTGTATACCTGTGTAGCAATCCTGCACGATCTGAACATGTACCCCAGAACTTAAAGTGTAATAAGAAAAAAAGAAAAAAAATGATGCATTTTCTTTTGAGCATGCAGAGTTTGATATGCAAATGGTGTATGAGCAGAGCTACGTAATTGGCATTGACTCTGCAGATTTAAAACTCAAAGGTGAAATCAGGTGTAGAGAGGGAGGTAAGGGCTGGAGACGACTGTGGATGAGACTGCGGGGGGGTGAGCAGGTGGAGAGAAAAGGGATTGGGAGAGTGAGAAAGGGAAGGAAGGAAGAAGGAAGGAAAGAAGGAAGAAAGGAAGGGAGGGAGGAAGAAAGGAGAAAAGAATACTAAGATTCACTGAACCAGACCCTAGGGTTGCACATTACCCAATTTCACCCATCAACAAAGCCATGAGGAAAGTATGATTATCATCATCATCACCATCATCATGATTCCCCTCGTACAGATAAGAATAAGGAGGCCAGGCATGGTAGCTCACGCCAGTAATCCCAACACTTTGGGAGGCTGACGCAGGCAGATCACCTGAGGTCCAGAGTCCCAGGCCAGCCTGACCAACATGGAGAAACCCCGTCTCTACTAAAAATTCAAACTCAGCTGGGTATGGTGGCGCATGCCTGTAATCCCAGCTACTCGGGGGCTGAGGAGGAGAATTGCTTGAACCCGGGAGGCGGAGGTTGCAGTGGGCCGAGATCGCACCATTGCACTCCAGCCTTGGCAACAAGAGCGAAACTCCATCTCAAAAAAAAAAAGGGGGATAATAAGGTGTATGGATGTTAAGATACTTGCCCAATGTAATGGAACTAGGCAGTGATAGAGCCAGATTGTAAAACCGGGTATACCTGATCCTAATGTTTATGCTCTTTCCACAAGACCGGGGATCAGCAACTACAGCCAACCTCCTGTTTTTGTAGATAGAGTTTCAATGGTGCACAGCCTGGCTCATTCACTCACATGTTATCTATGGCTGTGTCATGGATAGCGGCAGGGTCGAGCAGTGGTAACAGAGACCATGTGGCCTGCAGAGCCTATGACATTTACTACCTGGCCCTTGACAGAAAACATTTGCCAGCCCCTGGCCTAGCCACGTATGCTTCCTATAGGAGCCAGGGCAGAAACTTGAGCCACGCCTGCATGTGGGGGAGGGGAAGAGGAAGGCAGATGGAAGAGCCCAAATGGAAGTTCCCGGTAATAACAAGGAAGAGACATTACACCAATGGCAAAGAGGACAAAGAAGGACGTATTATCAAGAGTGAGGGGAACTACCCATCAAATGCTTCAAAGCCATCAAAAAAGGTTGAAGCCTGAGGAGAGGCAGTTAGACAGACTCAGCAATGTGTCTTTCTCAGTAAATGGTGGGGACCGGACTGGGCACAGGGACTCATGCCTGTAATCCCAGAACTGTGGGAGGCCGAGGCAGTGGACCACCTGAGGTCGGGAGTTCGATACCAGCCTGACCAACATGGAGAAACCCTGTCTCTACTAAAAATAAAAAATTAGCTGGCTGCATGCCTATAATCTCAGCTACTCAGGAGGCTGAGGCAGAAGAATCACTTAGCCCAGGAGGCAGAGGTTGCCGTGAGCTGAGATCGTGCCATTGCACTCCAGCCTGGGCAACAAGAACAAAACTCCCTCTCAAAAAAAAAAAAAAAATGGTGGGGACAGAAATCAGATGATGCTACTTATGAGGTGGCTGAAGATGTGTGAGGAATGAGCACAGATTCATCTTCAAAGTATTTGGTGATGAGATTAAGAGGGCAGGGCGGTCATCTGCTGGCATAACTGTGCTAAGGTGCAAATTTTTAGAGAAGGGATACGGAGAATTGAGCAAGATGGTAAGTGGAGGAGAGAAAGCCAGTAGAGAGGAAAAGAGGATGCTGAGGTGACAGACGAAGATGAACCTGTGATCACATCCAAGGGGGAGGTGGGAGACAGAATTCAGAGACCAGAGAGAGGTAGGCATCAGCTTTGCCTACAAGGAAGGGTAAGGAGAGGGAACTAAGATTTGATGAGAATCTTGATATGTATCAAGCCAATCACTTATTTTCATGATCTCATTCAGTGCTTACAACTCTGTGAGCTAGAAATTCAAATGCCCATTTTTCAGGCAAAGGAAACAGTCTCACATAGTTTCAGGGCTAGCCCAAAGTAACGGTGTCATAGAGAGGCAGCTCTGGCATTCAAAGCTAAGTCTGGCAACTCCAAAGACTATGCTGGTTTCACCACACACAGGCTTGAAATGGATGGATTTGGGGTGAAGACTGATCTGTTTTATCTTTGTTTGTTCCACACAGGTCCCAGCTGATGAAGGAGAATCAATTCAAGGAGATGCGCTCTCTTTATAGCACACCCTTTAACAGCATCCAGGAGGAACAAGAAGCTGCAATGCGGAGGCTTTCAAAGTGTTCACAAGGATGCCCAAGAATGGTCGTGTTGCCAGGTTTCTGGCAGGTTCCAGGCTCCATCACGAGCCCAGCATCCCTGCACCAAATCTGACATCGTTGCTGCTGTCCCAGCTGTCTATGAAGAGCCTGAGTAGCTATCAAGTTGTTAGGACAGCAGCTCTGCAGGGGGCTTAGACACCAAAAGAGAAGTCTCATCCTCTGCAGTTCTTGTCAATGTCCTGATGTCAGTGTCAAAACGCTGAGAACCAAGCACAAGCACCAAAGTCCAAATGGGATCTCCTGCGAGCACATATCAAGCAGTATTGTTGCTGTTTCTCCTCATTGGCTCTTTGAACAGACTGTGTGGGCTCCTGGAAGCCTCCACTGTATCTAGCCTTTGATACTGTCCAGTTGGCACATGGTGACATATTCCAACGTGTTGATTGCAAATGTGAATGTACAGCCAATGCTGTGTGTGGGAGGACTCTCTCCTCCTCAGTGGGGGCCCCACTTGTTTGCACAGCCTGGCCATGCAGTGGCTCATATTGAGCTTTTAACCAACTGAAACCTCCTGCACGTTTTTCTGACAAGCCGGCAAGGCCTCTGCTATGCTGTCCTTGTGTCATTCATTTTAACAGTCCTTAAGGGCAGGATTGTTTTTATCTTAAGTTACGTCTGGCCAAGTACAGCCCAAGGACAGCAACTCTGAGGGTCAAGCCTGATAGGCTAACCAGATAGATACGCTCGGCTTCGTCATCCACCGGAGCCTTACTGCCTCACTAATTTATATTTCCCCTGGTCTAATGTTGTATTTTTTTATTTATATTTCAACCTTAGAGTATATGTGTGTCTTATAAGCTGCCTCTGATCTTTCATGGTATGAGGTGGTTACCTAAATAAAGAAGTAGATTTGGTCTTTGTTTTCATGTAACAGGACATATTCACGAGTCTTCATGATTTCATAATAGTTCTCCCAGTTTTAGCACATCCTCTTACCAATTCTTTAACTGGCCCTGGTGGAAATCCTGCAATTCTACTCTCAGCAAGGTGCCTCCAGGGAAGGAACACATAGAATACGATGTGCTAAAGACAGCAAGGCTGGGTACAGTGGCTCACGCCTGTAATCCCAACACTTTGGGAGGCTGAGGCAGGTGAATCACGAGGTCAAGAGATTGAGACCAGCCTGGCCAACATAATGAAACCCCCTCTCTACTAAAAATACAAAAATTAGCTAGGTGTGGTGGTGCACACCTGTACTCCCAGCTACTTGGGGGAGGCTGAGGCAGGAGAATTGCTTGAACCTGGGAGGCGGAGGTTGCAGTGAGCTGAGATCACACCACTGCACTCCAGCCTGGGGAACAGAACAAGACTGTGTCTCAAAAAAAGAAAGAAAAAAAAAAGAACACAGAGCACAGGTTATCCTGACACCATGGAGTCTTCTGGCGTCTCTGTGCTCTGCCACCAGCCTAGCGTCTCTGAATTGGGACGTCCTCAGAAACCTGATGAACTATCGCAAAAGAACATTGCAGTTATTGAATTCAGAAGAAATATTTCTTTCCTACTCAGAATCTTCCTCAACCACTTGTAATCCTCTCCATCTTCCCCGTTGGAAGTCTCTGTGCCTGAGCTGACTATACACCGTGAGAGGCCAGAGCCTCTTACTTGGGGCTCTAAAATTCACAGGGGGCCGGGCGCCGTGGCTCAAGTCTGTAATCCCAGCACTTTGGGAGGCCGAGGCGGGTGGATCACGAAGTCAAGAGATCGAGACCATCCTGGTCAACACGGTGAAACCCCGTCTCTACTAAAAATACAAAACATTAGCTGGGCATGGTGGCGCGTGCCTGTAATCCCAGCTACGCAGGAAGCTGAGGCAGGAGAATTGCCTGAACCCAGGAGGCGGAGGCTGCGGTGAGCCGAGATCGTGCCATTGCACTCCAGCCTGGGTTATGAGAGCGAAACTCCGTCCCAAAAAAATAAATAAATAAAATAAAATTCACAGGGAAGGAAAAGTCGCATGTACTCAAAACCAGTCTGAAAAATTCCTTGGTAAGTTGTTGTGTGGGCGGTCGCGTGACTTCTCTTAATGAGACCAGCATAGTTGTTTTGTTTTAATTCTAGAAGTGGAACCGTTTTCTGTTTTCTTTTCTTTGGCTGGGTACCAAATGCAGTCGTTGGCTTTCATTTAGTAGAAGCCAAATTGTTGAAAATCTGTGAATCTTAAAAAACTAGGATCCCACTCTGGCCAGAGTGTACGTTCACATCTAAGAGAGACTGAAGGAGCTGAGAGTGGCTGAGCAGCCGATTCCGACCTCACGTGTCACACTCACTCTAGGGAATTTCTCACACCGTTTGCATCACCCTTTCTCACACACTTGGGCTGTTAGTCTGCAAGTTAAACACACATATGATGGTTCTCCATGTAGAGCATTTGTTCGACTCAATTAGAGGCCATGCTTCTTGGGAGAATGACTATTGAATAAATCTGTGATGATAGGAGTAAGGGGTGAATTAAATGTAGTCCCTACTGATTACTTACTAGTCTTTAGCCTGCAGGAAGAAAAGGGAGGCCCACAGAGGAGGATTTTCTGGAATTTGTCATTGGCCACCCAGCAACCACATTAAAGAACTGGAACTCAGCTGGGCATGGTGGCTCACGCCTGTAATCTCAGCACTTTGAGAGGCTGAGATGGGCAGATCACGAGGTCAAGAGATCGAGACTATCCTGGCCAACATGGTGAAATCCCATCTCTACTAAAAATACAAAAATTAGCTGGGCGTGGTGACGGGTGCCTGTAGTCCCAGTTACTCGGGAGGCTGAGGCAGGAGAATCGCTTGAAACCGGGAGGCGGAGGTTGCAGTGAGCTGAGATCACACCACTGCACTCCAGCCTGGGCAACAGAGCAAGACTCCATCTCAGAAAAAAGAAAAAGAACTGGAACTGAGAAGGGCCACCTAGCCAGTGCATGTGGAAACTGTAGAGCAATCCCTCCCAGGCAAGGCTTTATCCAATAGCTGAGCATCTGCAAGGAGGACACCACTCAGAGACTCCGAACAGTACAGAATTAGAGGACAGGAGCCCTGAAGCCATCTTAAAAAGCACGAAGCCATGCTTGTCCAACTGTATGAAAATCACTTAGGGTTATTGTTTAAATGCAGATTCACCGTGGCTCCTGCTTGGAATCCAAGCAATTTGGGAGGCCGATGTGGGTAGATCCCTTGAGTCCAGGAGTTTGAGACAAGTATGGGCAATGTGCTAAAACCCAGTCTCTACAAAAAAATACACAAATTAACTGGGCCGGTTAGCATGTGCCTGTAATCCCAGCTACTTGGGAGGCTGAGGCAGGAGGATCACCTGAGCCCAGGTAGCTGAGGCTGCAGTGGGCCGTGATTGCACCACTGTACTCCGGCCGGCATGGCAGAGTGGGATCCTGTCTCAAAAAAACAAAAATGCAGATTCAGATTCAGTAGATCTGGGGAGGGGCCCAAGACTGCCTTTCTAACAAGCTGCCAGGCCATGCTGCTGCCACTGGTTCCTGAGACAATTTGAAGAGAGAGGCTCTCAAGCAACCCCATCATTTCAGGAGTGGAGAAACTGAAACTGCAGGCAGAGCGGTTTTACCAAGTTCAAGCAACTGAACAGTGACAGATCCAGGTCTGGAGCCCAGATCTCCAGGCTGCCAGTCAAGTCTTCTTGCCTCTCCATAAATGGCTGACTGGTTTCTCCCGAGCCCTGCGGAGCCTCAGGCAGAACAAGCAAGCGAGCAGGTCAGCAGCTGCGGAAGTGAGGCACGCTCATGCTGTAGATGAGTCATGCACCTTCACCCCTCGGGCCTCACCCAGGCTGTGCCGCGTGCCCAGGAAGGAGCAGGCCTCCACGCTGCTCTGTGTCACTTCACATACCACAATGCTGAGCCCATGGGTGCCCATCACGCCAGGCAGGGAGGGAGGAGGAAATAGGAAGGGCCACAGTGCCACCAGGCAGGGCCACATGAAGCTGGGCTACATCTGATCTGGACTCATCCTCCCAGAAAGCTCTCCACCAAAGTGTTGGGCATGGGGAGCCTCTTACTGTTCTCCAGCCCCATCTCATGGCCCCTCCTCCTGTCCATTCCCTCTGGAGGCAACTGGGTCTTTTCAGTGACCTGAACTCTGTCCACTCTGCCACTTACAGGCTGAGTGACTATAGGTAGCCCTCTCTTATTGGGAGGCAATCATAATGACATCACAGTCACAAGTGAGCCAGCACTGGCCTTCAGGACTTCTGCAACCTCCTGAATTGGCAAATACCTTAGAAGGTATCATTTCCCCTTTGTAGAAATCAAAATGTAGAGCTGTAAACCTTAGGCCATCTCTTCCTGATCCTAGGGCTATAGACCTGTCATTTTTAAAGCTATTTAAAGTAAGGTCGGTCGGGCGCAGTGGCTCACTCCTGTAATCCCAACACTTTGGGAGGTTGAGGCAGGTGGATCAACTGAGGTCCGGAGTTTGAGACCAGCTTGACCAACATGGTGAAACCCCATCTCGACTAAAAATACAAAATTACCCAGGCAAAGTGGCACATGCCTGTAATCCCAGCTACTCTGGGGGCTGAGGCAGGAGAATCACTTGAACCCGGGAGGCAGAGGTTGTGGTAAGCTGAGATCGCACCATTGCACTCCAGCCTGGGCAACAAGAATGAAACTCCATCTTCAAAAATAAAAATAAAATAAAATAAAATAAAGTAAGATCCGCCATAATAATCAAGTTCACATTTCACACAACCTCATCCCCATGGCTTATTGCAGGACCCACAAAACCAGGGGAAGGTGGTCGTACTAGGTGGAAGGGCAGCCTACCCCCCAATCAGTAGCCTCAAAGTCCCTCAGGTTGAACTCATCTCTCAGTGAAATTACAGTACTATGGAGGAAGGGGAGCTTAGCCTGCCTGGATCACAAGCTGACCTCCATCACTGAGGAAGGCTCAGAAATGTATTTGCATGAAGGACCGAAGAGCCTCCTGGGTAAAAACAAACCCTAAGGATACAGAGAGTCAGGCAAACTGGCTTGGCCTGGTATCAGACACCTCATACAGGTATGTTCAGCTTCCCTTATCTTCCAACAGTGTTTGTTCACAGGGAAAAAGGGCTGAGAGAAGGGATCGACTGAATTGGGTTGGGGGGCAGGGAACAGACTGTATATGATACTAAGATATAATCTCAGCATGTGAAAGCATCCAACATACACTTGTGTTTGTTCCCGATAGACACAGTAATAATCTGGCAGAAAAATAAAACAATAGGTGCCAACTAGTAGCTGACTGAAGTTGTTTATGAGCTGAATCAGTTCTTCTAAGACTTCCAGAAGTTTCTTGGCAGGACAGGCACACAAGGGGAATAGGTACCAGCCAGGAAAACAAGGATAACAACAAACCATGCCTTGTCAGGAATACTGAGAAGAAAGGCGCAAATACCAGAAGCTGAATCTGAATCTGGGAAATGCCAAAACTTTGCTCTGTGAGCAAATACATCTGTGCAATGTATTTCATTGCCTGATGTCCACACTCTTGTAAGCTATCATTTTATATGTCTTTGTTGATTTGTTGTTTGCTATTTCAGGCAGGAGCATAAATCCAGTCTTTGTTATTCCATCTTAGCCAGAAGTAGAGGGGGTCCTTGTTTCACCATCAGGCTTTTGTCTTCACTCAGAAAGAGAAAATCGGAATGACAAAAAGAGTACTAGGTCAGGACTCAGCAAGTGTGCGTTCCAGTCCAGGCCCTGTGGCCTCTGGTGAGTCTTTTTACAGCTTAGAGTGATTTTACATCTCAGCTTTCTCATGTGAAGTTTGCATAAGAGTGGTGCCTCACCCGGGTACAGTGGCTCACACCTGTAATCCCAGCACTTTGGGAGGTCTAAGCGGGTGGATCACCTGAGGTCAGGAGTTCGAGACCAGCCTGACCAACAT